GCGCAGGTTAATACGATGACATGATAACAAACCGGGTATACACGGGGTGTTACATCCAACCACTTAATAATTTCTTTCTTTACTACCTCCTTCATAATTGGGTTAAGTCTCCTTTGCTGCTTCCTAGAGCTGCTGTTTGGGTCTGTAAGAAGCATTTTTTGCATTCAATAAGAGGGGCTAATACCTTTAATATCTGCCAAAGACCAACCTGTAGCCCTCTTAAATTTTTTTAAAACAGCCAGCAGTTGTTGTTCCTCTAAAACAGTGAGCATATTAGACACAATGACAGGCAAAGTGTCTTTTTCTCCTAAATAAGCATACCTAAGATGATTAGGTAGAGGCTTGAGCTTTAAGATATGAGGCTCTTCAATTGAAGGTTTGGGAATTTTTATACCTCTCTTGGTCAACTCTAATGACTCAAAGTTTTTATTTTTCCAAACCAAATCAGATATGGAATTTAACCATTTAACAACTTCCTCTGAATCAGTTTGACTTATTTCTAGACCCTCACAACCAGAAACTTCTAATGAGTCCAATGTAGTTTCATGCAAAAAAATTTCTTTGACCACATAATCAATGATATCCAGCCTAGAACATTCCTCTATATCCCTTGGGTATTTCATCGCTTTCAAAATATTGAACTTCACTTGCTCACCATTCAAATTCATTGCCAGCTCACCTTCTTTAACATCTATCACAGCCCCACCAGTGGCTAAGAAAGCCCTCCCTAAAATTATTGGTACCTCTCGGTCTTCCTCATAATCCAGAATAATAAAATCAGCAGGTGGAATAAATTTATTTACCGTTACCAAGACATTTTCTACCTTCCCTTCAGGATAAACCAGGGATCTATCAGCCAGCTGTAAAGTTACAGTGGTAGGATTAGGCTCTCCCACTTTCAACTTCTTGAACACACTCATAGTCATTAAATTTATACTTGCACCTAAGTCACATAGTGCTCTGCCTATATAATGATTTCCTATGGTGCAGGGAATTGTAAAACTTCCTGGATCTCCTAATTTGACTGCTCTCTTGTGTAAGAGCAACAGTCCTAAACTCTTCTAACCTCCTTTTTCTTGAAAGAATTTCTTTCATGAATTTCACATAAGTGGTCATTTGTTCTAATGCATCCACGAATAGAATGTTAACATGCAACTGTTTTAGGATGTCTAGAAATTTTCTGAATTGGTTGTCTTGCTTCTGTTTTTGCAACCTTTGGGGAAGGGTGGTAGGGGCCTGTTTGAGACAACAGGTGTCTCTACATTAGGCTTAAATGCTTGGCTATTTGGAGGTGACTTTTCCTTTGGAATATACCCTAAAGAAGGATCTATTCGGGTCTGAATTTCTGGTTCAACCAGAACAGGCAAAGGACCACTAGTCTCGACCTCTTGGTGGCTGTCATGGACTATAGGTGGCTGAGTAGGTTCTAAATTTTTCTCTAGATTTGAACCTTTTTCTTGCTGCAGTTTTTCTTCTTCTTCTTTTTTTTAATGTGGAAGGTCTCACCACAGCTTTTGGTTGATTCACAGATCTGCCATTCCTAAGCTCAATCATGTGACACTACTCATTATTTCTCCTAGGCTCTTCAGTATTACTAGGCAAAGTACCAGGGGGTCTGCTATTCAAAGCATTGGCTAAATGGCCTAGTTGGGACTCTAAATTCCTCAAAGAAGCAGGAAAACTTTGCACTACAGCTTCCAAGATGTTTTGCTTAGTTTCACTCTAAACCAAATATTCCCTCAACAAAGCTTCTAAGGAAGAAGTTGAAGAGGAAGTCATCTCACCAACTTGGTTTTGAGGATATGGGGCTGAAGGCTGAGCAACAGGTAGCCTTGGAGGTTGATAATTTTGAGGAGGAAAAGGTGGCCTGGTTTGGGCATTGGAGGGTTCAGCTTGCTGCCCTTGCCCTTGAAAATATTGGGGCTGTTGACTCTGCCTCCAAGAATTATTGAAAAAATTATTTTTTTCCTATTGGGGTTTCGCACATAGTAAACAGACTCTAGGTTGGATGGGAAGCTATCAAACAAATGGGGTCCATTATAGAAAACACAAGTTTCACTTGAGTTCGCAACATTGACTTGAGGTTGGACAATTGAACTTGTGACCGAGCTAATCTTGCCTCAATTGATTGACCATGGTTTCTCACTAGAGTGGATAGTGCATCAAACTTGGCTGACAAGGTGATAACACATATTTTGTTACACTTATTTATTACTCTTAGTTAGTATTTTTAGGATTTATTTGAATTAAATAAAGGTCTTTTAGGTCAAATCAGGATTCTAGATTTTGATTGGGTTTAATTGATGTCCGTCAGAATTTTGCACATTTACACTACTTTCGTATTTTGGCCATATCTCACTCTACAGATGTCCGATTAACTCCTTTCTTATTGCATTTTGCAGCTAACAGAAAAGGATACAATCTCTATTTCAGTTACTGAAGCTCAATTCAAATGGAAAGATGGTCGAAACTTGAGCCCAAGATGACGTGTTTTGCTGGAATTTTATTTTGACGTTTGGACTTATAAATTAAATTAGGACCCAATGAATTTAGGGCTCAAGGCCATGTTTTAATGTTTTATTTTATTTTATTCAGTTTTTATTTTATGTATGGGCCGAAGTGGTGAAACCCTAACCAGTTCTGAATATGGGTTATTTAAGGGAAACGTTAGGAAACCCTTCGGCACTCAGATTTTGAGTTGAACAATTGTTTGAGTTTTATTTATCGAAATTCTGCATTTTTTCTTTTCATCTTCTTCTTCTTCTCTTATTTTATTTTGAATGATGTTTAACCTCTCAATGCTAGGCTAAACACCTTTAATCAATCTAAGGATTAAAGGTTCGTTAGTTTATTTCAGAGGATCAGTTTTTAACTTTTTCATCAATTTCATTTTTTCCCAATTCAGGTTGAATATCATGCGATTGTAGATATTCAAACTGAATAATGCCATTGCATTCTGCAAGGGAAATTGATCATTAGATTTAATGGTCAGATTAACCAACCCAATGAACATAAGTTGAACAGGTTTAAATTACTGCGATTGCATAGTTTAAATACTGTATTCAACCAAACGCTAGGCGATAGTCTAGAGAGGGTTTCCAATTGAATTTGAGGATTCCTAATTCGATTGGGATTAATCACGAATTGATAATTATATCTTTTTATCCAATGACAAAATAAATTAATGAATCTTGATTCCTTAGGTTGATTGCTTTTTAATTCTGATTTTTAAATCCAATTTCAAATCTGTTTTATTTAAATTTCAAATTAACAACATCCCCCTTCCCTTTTATATTTTATTTCACAAAACGTTTCTGATTGTAAGTAGGTTCTTTGAGAGACTATCCGAGTTGCCCTATCACTACAAACCTAAAGCTCGGTAATTTACGTGGGTTCGACAGCGCACGTCAAATTTGGCGTCGTTGCCGGGGAATCTGCACGTCAATAGCGTTCTTTCTCTTTCTCTTTTCTTTCTCTAATTTTTCTTTTTTATTGTTCTGCTTCTTCTTGTTCTTCTATTTTTTTTCTTTTAATTTTCTTTTTTCTATTTCTGTTCTTTTAAAGAAAAAAAATTCGTTTTGATTTTTCTGTTTCTATTTTTTTTTCTAATTATTGAATATTAACAGTAGATCAGATTTTGTTAGGATTTTGATTAGATTAGACTAGATTTTGTTTACAATCATTCCTAATCTTTTGATTATGTTAAGATTTTGTTAGATATTGTTGGATTATATTACATTTTGTTAGATTTTGATTAGATAGCTTAGATTTTGTTAGATTTAGTTTCCTTTTATTTATTTATTTTTTATTTTTTATTTTTTATTTTTTATTTTTTATTTTGTTTTTTTTTTTTATTTTTTTTTTTTTATTTTGGTTCCTTTTGCTCTTTCTTTCCTTTCCTTTCCTTTTATTTTATTTTTTTTCTAATTCCTTTTCCTATTTGATCTTTTATAATTTAGGAATTTTTTTTATAATTTAGGAAGTTTTGGTCGCGACAAGACGTATCGATTATTTCGGCAATTGTTGTTTTTGCTCCGATTGGGCTAAATTTTTTGTGAGCTGAAGGATAAGATATTCTAAGAAAGGCTCACCCAAAGTGTGAGATCCACACTGTTTTGGCCAAATTCCATTGTTTAGACCACTGTTTCATTTTTTTAAAAAATATTTTTATTTGATTTTTGAGTTCTTATATAGGGTAAAACTTTGTGTGTGGTGGTCCCATAATTTTTAAAAATCGTTCAATAGTGTTTCTAATTTTATTTTGGTTAATTTCTACTGTAGTTTAAATATAATAATTTTTTTATAGGGTACATTTTATTTTTTCTAGTAGTACTGTTATTAATTAAAAAAACATGGATAATAGAAGCTTAAGGCAATTGGCTGCACCAGAGGTTAACTATCAGCCTTTTTGCATTCATTATCTTGATCTTGATACTGGTTTTAAACTTAAGTCTGGACTTATCCATTTGTTTCCCAAGTTTCTTGGTCTTGTAGGTGAGGATTGGTATAAGCATTTGAAGGAGTTTCATGTAGTCTGTAGCACAATGATATCACTGGGAGTTGATGAGGAGTAGGTTAAACTGAGAGCCTTTCCTTTTTCCCTCGATGGAGGAGCTAAGGATTGGTTGTACTACCTTCAACCTTCATCTATCGAGACTTGGAATGACATGTCCAGATTGTTTTTGGAGAAGTTTTTCCCTTCCCCAAGAGCAAATGAGGAGAACTTGCATGAGTACTGGGAGCGGTTTAAAAGACTTTGTGCAAGCTGTCCACATCACCAGATTCCGGAGCAATTGCTGATTGTCTACTTCTATGAGGGATTGCTACATATGGATAGGAACCTGATTGATGCTGCCAGTGGAGGAGTTCTTGTTGACAAAACACCCGATGAAGCTACGGTGTTGATCTCAAACGTGGCTGCAAATGCTCAACAGTTTGGAACGAGAGCCAATAGCAGTGCTGTGTACTAGGTGCAAGCGACTCCGACCCAGCCTTCAGCAATGGCATCAAGTACTGACAATCAAAGAATTGAAAATAGACTTGATGAACTAGTAACCATGATGAGACAGTTGGCAGTTACCCAGACAGTCCAGACTTCTGATCCACAGTCCGGCAGTCTATGCGGCATATGCAGTGACCCTTTTCACCCCGTTGATGCTTGCCCTTCTCTGCAAGAGGGCCCCATTTCTGCAGACCAGTCAGTAGCTGCAGTCTTTCCTGGGAAACCACAGTTCCAGCAGCAGTAGAATAATCCATTCTCCAACACATACAATCCTGGATGGAAGAATCATCCCAACCTCAGATAGAACCAGAATCAACAAAATGTCCCATATCAGCAGAGTCAGCAAAATGTTCCATATCAGCAGAAGCAGCAGTTCATCCCACAACAGAGGCAAAACTTCCAGCAAGCTGCTCCCCAACAAATGCCACAACAACCACCAGTGCAACAACAAAATAGTGGCAGTGGTCCTTCCTTGGAGGACTTAATGAAACAGATGGCCACCAACAATCTGGAGTTTCAACAGAGGACAGAATCCACAATCCAAAATTTGCAGACACAAATTGGGCAATTGGCAACATCAATGAACCAGGCTCAACCTTCCAGCAGCTCCCTTCCATCACAGACAGTTCCAAATCCAAAGGGAAGCGGAAATGTTTGTGCTATTTCTCTACGGTATGGAAAAATACTGGAGGAGCCAACCCAAGATGTTGTTGAGTCATCCCAGGGAGGTGACACTAGTGTAAGGAAGCAGAACACTGATAAGTTTGATATCCACATCCCCTTACCTTTCCCTCAAAGAGCCACCCAGTCTAAGAAGCAAGTGAAAAAAGCTCAAGATAAAGAGATTCTTGACACCTTCAGAAAGGTAGAGGTAAACATCCCACTCCTGGATGTGATTCAGCAAATTCCAAGATATGCACAGTTTCTGAAGGAGTTATGCACTAACAAGAGGAGGCTGAAAGGAGATAAACGAGTTAGCGTCAGTCAGAATGTGTCAGCACTCATCTAGCCCATGCCCAAGAAGTGTTAAGATCCAGGGACATTTACTATTCTTTGCCTTATTGGGAATTCTATTTTTCATAATTGCATGTTAGACTTAGGAGCATCCATTAATGTTATGCCTGAATCTGTGTATAAGTCTCTTGGTCTTGGTCCCTTGCGTGCTACTGGTATTGTTGTTCAGTTAGCCAACATGAGTAGTGTTCACCCTTCTGGTGTAGTTGAGGATATATTAGTTAAGGTGAACAATCTGATTTTTCCTGCTGATTTCTATATCTTAGGGATGGAGGGTGAGACTCGTAATAGTACAATTATACTTGGTAGACCTTTCATGAAAACTGCTAGGACTATGATAGATGTGCATGCTGGTACTCTTTCCATGGAATTTGGTGATAGCATGGTCAATTTTAATATTTTTGATGCCATGAAATTTCCTAGGGAAGAGCATTCTGTTTTCTGCATTGATGTAATAGATGAAGTGGTTGATGATATCTCTGCTGATTTAACTACTCAATTTCATCCTTCCTTGATTATGATCTGTCATGTGGTTGTACCGATAGTATTGACTATACAGCTTGTGCTGAGATAGCGTTGTGTTGTTCTGATTTTAATCATGCATTGAATGATGATTTGCACAGTGGTTCTGCATTGAAGTTGAATTCTGAATTGCCTATTGAAATTATTGATGATTCTATTTCTGAGAATTTGATTGCAGGCATAGATGTTAATGTGTTTTTTGCAGAACCTGCACCCACTAGACTTCTCTCATCCACTAAGTAAGTTGGAACTGAAGGTTCTGCTTGACCATCTGAAGTATTCATATCTAGAGGAAAATGAGCAGTTACCTGTGATAGTGGCCAAGAACCTTCTACCTGAGCAGGAGGAAAAGCTTCTGACATTGCTGAAAGAAAATAAGAAGGCAATTGGATGGACTTTAGCAGATATTGTGGGAATCAGCCTTTCTATGTGCATGCACCGCATTTTGCTTGAGGAAAGTGCAAAACCAGTGAGGCAACCCCAGAGGCGCCTGAACCCACTCATCCTGGAAGTGGTGAAGAAGGAAGTCACCAAGCTTTTATAGCTGGAATGATTTATCCTATTTCAGATAGCCAGTTGGTCAACCCGGTTCAAGTGGTTCCCAAGAAGTCTGGAGTGACTGTAGTGGCGAATCAGAAAAATGAACTGGTTCCGGCAAGAGCTCAGAATAGTTGGAGAGTCTACATAGATTACCATAGACTAAATCAAGTAACTCGCAAGGATCACTATCCTTTGCCATTTATTGATCAAATGCTTGAGCGGTTGGTTGGTAAATCTGATTACTACTTCTTAGACGGATATTCTGGTTACTTCCAGATTCATATTGGACTTGAGAATCAGGAGAAGACCACCTTCACATGTCCCTTTGGCACATATGCATATAGGAGGATGTCGCTTTGGCACCTAACGGATATTCTCATTACTACTTCTATGAAGGAACACCATAGCAACCTGAGGATACAGAAATGGAAGCAGAGATCAGGTTGCTTGATGCTGCTTATTCTCCTTAGGGAGTTTAGGGAGTTCTCTTCCCTCTTTTTCTTTTCTTTATGTTATTTGCATTTTTATTTTTATTTCTCTTTCTTTCTTTTAGTTTTTGATTTTCATAGGTAGATTTTCCTTTTCTTTCTGGTAATTATTGAGTGGTACATGGAGTAGACTTAGATCATAGTGTTTGATAGCATGGTCTGTTAGGCTCTGATCTCGATTCTTGGATTGCAATACCTGTTGATTGATTTTATGCTGTTGATTGCATGATTTGGTTGACCCTTGTGAGGTTTTGAGCCTGTATACATGCCTTAAATCTTCTTGCCATTCTTTCTTTCTTGTGTACTTCTGCTCTTGATCTTTGTTCTCTAGAACTTGCTTCAGTTCTTTTTGAAACTGCATTTTTCACTTACATGCATGAATATGATTGAGGCATTCATTTTTATTTTACCCACTTTAGCCAGATAGCCATCCCTTACATTATTATCCCTTGGTGAGCCTCTTTGAACCTCTCCCCTACATCCACTAGAGTCTCACCATCCTTCTGCATGAAGATGGTGATCTCACATCTAGTTTGTACCATCTTATTGGATGGAAAAAAATTCATGATGAATTTCTCAGCTAAGGCATGCCAAGTGGTTATGGAGTTGGATGGAAGGGAGTTCAACCACTCTTTGGCTTTATTAGCCAGGGAGTGCGGGAAAAGCTTTAATCTCAGCACATCATCTAAGATATTAGGATTCCTAAAAGCATTAGCAACTTCTATGAAATTCCTAAGGCGCTTATGGGGATCCTTCAAAAGTAAACCATGAAACTGCCCCATATTTTGGAGCATTGTGAACATTACAGGTTCTAATTTAAAAGGCACTACATTAACAGGCTGAGCAATACTTGGGTCCAACTTATCCAACACAGGTATGATAAAGTCCATCATGGACCTATCATTGTCATCCATTGGCTGGTTCTCTATCCTCTCAGGTCCTCCCTCATTCCCATTTCCATTCCCTACATTCTCCATTTCTCCAAAATCTGGATTTGGAATCATCCTATTTGCTCTCTGGACGTTTCTTCTAAGCCTAAAAATCCTATCAGGTTCAGGGTCAAAAGCTTCTAAGAAAGGGTGTGGAGATGCACTCATGCACCCTTTGAACTTAAAAAAAATTAAATCTGACTAGCTTAAACAACCACGATTTCTATCAGCACTTTCTAAAAAAAAATTAAAACAAGCAGAACTGAGAATTCAAAAATTAAAAAGGCAACAGTATCCCCAAATAGAATTGTAAATCAATAAAAAATACAAACTAAGGAATTAAACTAATAAAAAAAATAAAAGATAGACACGAAAAAATTAAGAAACAAATTAACAGTTATGAAACAATAAACTAACAAATTAAATAACAAAACAAATATATAAAACATTTAAGAAAATCAAAATCTTAACAGACTAAAATTCAAGCTATCGCTATTCAAGTAAAAATAACAAAAAAATTTAACTCAGAAACAGCAATCACAAAATTAAAATCTAACAATGTACGCCTTTGATCCCCGGCAACGGCGCCAAAAACTTGTTGGCCTTGCTAAAGAGTATGCAAGAGATGCGCAAGTATACACAGTCACAAGTAATATAGGGTGTATTTAAGACCCCAATATCGTTCCCACAAGGATCTTTTTGGCATAGAAAATTCAAAAGAAAAATTGCAATTGCTTAAACTAGATTCTAAAAAGAAATTAAATTTAACTTGGTTAAACAAAAATTAAAAAGGAATAAGGATTAAACTTCACTTGAAGATTTCTGATTCAAACTTGAGGTCACTTAAAAAAATAAAGAGTAGAAAGTAAACGGAGAAATTGTTTTTGAGGTTTTTCTTTTTGATTATATTTTCACAAAATTACTAAGATTTTAATTGAATAAAAAGAAATCAGACTTGAAAATAAAAAGTTTAAGAGTGTAATGGGAAAAATTGGGTTGGGTTTTGATTCCTTCCCTTCAGCTCTTGATGCAACTTACTTAAGAAAAATTCTTTAAAGATTATTTCTGCGTTGGCAGAAAACTGTAGATCTTAAATCCCTTAAATATCTTTCTTCCTTTTTCTCAAACCACTTATCCCTAAGCTTATGAAAATAAAGGCTTGAAGCCCATGTCCTCTTAGCCACATGGAGGAGTAAATTCTTACCCATAACTACTCCCTCAAATAAATTCTTATTTGAGTCCTTGAATTCAACTCAGTTTCCAAAGACGAATATTTCCCAATACCCCTCTCCTAATACACACGTAATCCATTCGACCGAAATAGAAAACGCATTCAAATAATAAGCAGAGTTAAACTTCAGAAAGTAAAAATTCATATCAGAGAGGTAATTTGCATCATTCACTGTAGTTGGGGTATCAAACACCCAACCCTTAAAGAGTTTAGCTCAAATCCATAAGGATTGAGCTAATTAACAGACATGAAAGAAAACTACAAAAGAAATAAAATCGTAGAAATATATATCTACCACTTGAGAGCTATTCACTGACATAGTCTCATCACTGTACTCACCATCACAGAATAACACAACTAGAAAAATTACAGTATCATAAAAATGGAAAAACCAAAAATTATGAAAGAAAAATCAGAAGAAAAAGGTCTGAGAGGGCCTACAAAATTTCCTCGCCCTTTATATACCCGCTCTCCTCGCATGCATGGGCTTTGGGCCCTTTCATTATCAATCTCCACCAACAGAAATCCCACGTGCTCCTTGCTGTGAGTCACACTAGCACTCTTTGCTCCACGCTCTCGTCAAACGCTCAACCAAGAAGAATCCCTCTCCACGCTTGTAACAACCTCCACATCACGATTCGGTTAAGATCCGGCTTCTAGAACGAGGGTCACACAAATCTTCTAGAAAAATGATCCCTTGGTTCACAAGTTGAAGGGAGGAGAAGGTGACAAGCTTGGGAGACACCAAGCTTCGGAATTGGAGGCATGTAGGATTAGAAAATTCTGACCTAGAACCTTGTGCCCTCCCTTATATAGTCTTATTAAGTTTAATCACACTGTATTAGCACTAATAGCTCGACTAATCATTTTAATCTCAAACTTTGGATTCTGAACCTAGCCATTTTTATAAGATTTATCATATTTTTATTATAATTTTTGCAGCACTTTGTCGATACGCATTTTTACGTAACCGGTATCAGTCCTGACGCCAGTTCTCATTATTTCGACTTCAAACTTGACATACCAGTCCTATATATTATTCTAGGAATGTATACGTACTCTTTATAATTTTTTGGGATACCTCATCGGTACGCATTTATACCGTGAAGCAGAACCGGTATATGCACTTTTCATCAGAAAAACGACTTTCAACATTATTAATCACTTACTATAATTATTTAAGCCCTCTCATAATTATTCAAGGTCAATTATGAAATTTATCTCTTAACTCATAATTAAATTAATCAAATTCCTAATTTAACAGTGCAGGTTCTTACAATTCCCTTCTTCATCAATTAGTTCAGCATCGAAACTGTTGATACCAACATGACCTTGTGGAAAATCAATATCTGTCATTATTGTCTTCACAACTTATCCTGGTCCCATTTCAAACTTTTCAGACACAAAAATTGCTGACTTGATGTGTCTCTTGGGATCCTCATAGTATAACTCGACTTTTATTAGACTCATTAATTAACATATTAGTTTTCTTCAAAGATGTCTTGAGAAGAGTTTCGGGATCCACATAGGAGAATCCTGTGCTCGATAGAAACACTAATATTGAAGAGGAAAACATCAATGCTTTAAACATAAACCTCACGTTCACTTGTACATACATAAACCATTAATAATTATCACATATTTTTTTTTTTTTTGGTATCCAATTATGACATATTTTATTTAAGAATAAATTTTATATTCTAATGTTATTTTTTCATGCAACCTTATAATGGACAATTCAAGATTCAAACATAAATATGCTAAAAAATTGGATGACAAGAATTGCATAGAAGAGGAGGGAATGACCATGTTAGAGATTTTGCCTTTGCCGAAAGTCCAAGCAATTTTTGAAATTTTAAAATAATGGTTGGAGATAAAATATTTGTGGGTAGATAGGGAGTTATTTATAGTAGAAATTGGCAATATCATATCTAGCGTAACTTGATGCCAATTCAACATAAACTTGATTTTACCGGCAAGGAGTTTGCGACTCTGCAAGCCGTTATGTAACTCTTGATAGTTATTTATAGGAGAGGAACAACAACTTGATGACTGTCGAGTGTTTATCTCAACAAAAATCATAAATATATGTCAGATTTTTTTTTCCTTTTCTTTTGTTGTTGTTCCTGTTAGAGTTCTAACAAAAAACTATAAAATCATATGAAGGGAAATGTTATCCTATAAAAATAATTCAATGACAGAGCTACGACGTGGGAGAGCCAGAGAAAAACAATGCCAAATTTTCTAGATTTTTTTTTGGTAAACTTTCTAGATCGTTTTGCTTTCAGTGAGTTTCAACACACCAAAGAAATTTTCGCTGATAATTTCAACATGTTCTTTTTCTATTTCTTTTTACTTTCAAACGAATGGATCTTTTCATAAATTTTTTACCTAGACTATATAATCATCCATTTAAATATTTTTTTATACAGCTAAAATTTAGATTTAAAATATCTTTTTACCCAATATTTTGTTCAACTTTTTCAAAAATACTTCACTAGTTGGGTTCAAAATTTTTGGTAAATTTTATTCGAATTTAAAGAATTAATGTATTGGTATATTCGAAAAACCTTTTGCAGTTCAAAATAATATTCATATATTCGAAAAAAAGAAAAAGGATTGATTTATAGTTCCTCTTTTGGCTTTTCCTCACCTACCACATCTAAGAATTGCGTTCAATATGGTTAGAGCTTATGCATGTGTTTTCCGTCTCGTAGCGAACAAAACTTTCTTGACAAGGGAATCTATTGTATAGATATGAATTGTCAAATAATTTCCCTTTAGCCAAATTATGATAACTGCATGCACCTTATCTCTTTGCAAAATTTCTCTATCCTCTACCCAAATTATGTTTATGCCATTTACTCATTAAATTAAAATGAACACTAACTTTATACAAAGGACACAAGTTGGTCTTATATTCACCCACTTGGCTCATGACAAAAAGTGTCCCTTCATGATTTAATGAAAAACAGTCACACATTGTGCACATAAGGCAAAAGGTTTCATACTTGGCCTCGTCGTAAATCACAATTAGAAATAAAACAAACATGAGTCATAGCAGTTTTAAACTATCAAATCGACAAAGTTTGTTCCATGTACCACTATATTAACCCATCTTCCTTACAAATATACTTCAATGGATGTCCAATAATAATACAATAATGTCTTCATCAAGGACAAATATTGTATTTCAATATAATGATTCATACATGCATGTATGGATAAATTTGAAAATAGGATGCTTTGAGAAACTTATACATCATAGAATTCGTAATTTCAATAGTCAATAATTACATTAATTAATGATCAACATTCTTTAGTTGGTATAATGCCTGTACTACACAAATGACCGGTAAACGTCTTAAATGGTAATTTCTTCGTCAAGGGATTAACTATCATAAGATTAGTGTTAGCATGCTCTATAAACACTCTACGTTTCTGAATCTCTTCTATAACGGCAAAGTATTTAAATTTTGTATGCAAGCACCTTTTGAATATTTGTCATTTTTAGAAAGCAATAATAAAAAAATATGTTTATACATTAAAAAATCGTGTTGGGGGGAGGGGGGGTTGGGGGTGTCAAAAATTTACTTTAGATGTATTTTATTAATTATGTGCCAAAACTTTGTTAAGAAGCTAATTACGTATTCTAAAGGATCGGAGCTGTGTTTTTTTTTTTTTGTTATTCAAAAAAAAAAAGGATCGGAGCTGTGTTTGCTATGTCGGCTAATATGTAATACAGGGGTTACCTTTTTTCTTATCTACATGATTCCCATACTCACGATAAAAACCTTAACTTCAACAAATTAAAAAAAAAAATAACAAAAAACATTTAACTAATTTGGCCATAAAAAGGAAATTATGCCATCTAGACGATTTTTGTTGAGATAAACTCTCAGCTGCTGACGTCAACTTGATATGCCCATAAATAGCGCTCCATAGAATTGTTGAATGGCTAGCATAAGTTCAAGCATCTAGAAACCACTTTCAAATAAATTCAAAACATTTGAGACGCTCAACAGAAACAAGCATCTAGAATCTATGTTGAATTGGCATTAAGTTACGCGGCTAATTCATTGCCAAACAATCTACTATAAAAGCAATAAACTCGAACTCCTTATGTACACAAAGTTATCTCCACCCATTATATTAAAATTTCAAAAATTGGTTCTACCTCCGACAAAGACCTTATGTCCACAATGATCATCCCTTCATCTTCTTGTCATGTGGTATGCGATTTTTGTTTCCAAGTTCATCTTACGCTTTATCTTCTTTAAACTAACTTAATGTGCCTGCCCTTTAAATATGTTTACATAAAAGAATAACATTACAAATATTATCCATAACTAAACATGTAATAATGATGCTTTGCACACAGGTAAACACAAGGTTTATCTCTAAAGCGTTGATACTTCCATTATCAATCCTAGTGTTGCTATCAAGCACAACATACTCATTTCAAGAGAAAACTTGGTTAAATATTGAGTCTCCAAAAGGGCATAATGGAGTCAAGTCAGCTACTTTTGTGTCTAAAAAGTTTGAAATGGGACCAGGATCAATTTTAGCGGAAGGTTTTTTTGATATTGAGTTTCCAAAAGGTCATGTTGGAATCAAGAGTGTCGATGCTGAACTAATTGATGAAGAAGGGAATTCTGTACCTTTGTATGATACTTACCTTCACCATTTTTTTATCATAAGATACTTTGAAAATATTACCTTGTCAAAGAATCCTAAGGCTCGTCAGAGTAAACTTGAAGGTTTCATTTTCAAGAGAAATGAAGGCCCATGCTACGATTATGTTCTTCCATTTTATTGGGGCATGGGAGGTGAATCACGAAGAACATCCTCAAACATTCCAGATCCTTTTGCGGTAGAAATAGGTAACCCTGCAGAAATTCCCGATGGATATGAAGAGAAATGGCTATTAAACATAATGGCAATTGATACACGTGGTGCACTCGATAGGGAAGGTTGTTCTGAATGTAGATGTGACTTGTTTAATCTCCCAAAGGACTTTTATAATGTCACAAGGGGCACTTATGGCGAACCATTGACCAAGGATTATAAGGGAGGAATGTTTTGTTGCCAAGACAAATTTCAATGCAAATTGAGAGAGGGTTTTCAAGGCCCAAGGAGAAACCTTTCCCTAAGATACAAAATAAGGTGGGTTGATTGGGACCAACACCAAATTCCTGTGAAGATTTATGTACTTGATTCAACCGATCAGGTGAGATCAAACGGATCCAAAGTAGTCCATGAGTGCCAGGTAAATTAATAAATTATTCATGAAGTAGACTTTTCAATCTTAATTAAATTCAAAATCAAAATTCTTCAAAGCAAGCACTCAGCAACAAATATCGATTAACTTGTTACAGGTAGAATATACTGTTCCCGCGAATGGTAGTAATGACTCTCCTCATGTCCAGAAAGCAAACATCCCAATGCAAAAAGGTGGTTATCTCATCTATGCCAGTGGTCATATGCATTCAGGTGCTATTAATGCAACTCTATACGGACAGGTAATTAATGTTCATTATTTTGTATCATTTTCAAATAGTCTTTATCATTTGTTGTAGATTATGCTTTATTAAGCTTTGTGTGCTTGATTTGTTTCTTTAAGTTATAATTTAGCTTGACTCATACTATTGTAATTAAGAAGTCATATATATATATATATATATATAATGCATCTTTACTTATTCAATTGTGCTTTTGTTTAATTTAGGATGGAAGGACTTTATGTACCTCAAAACCAAAATATGGAAAGGGAAAGAAAGCAGGAAATGAGAAAGGTTATGCGGTTGGAATGTCTGTTTGTTATCCAAAACCAGGTTCTATCAAGATTAAGGATGGTGAAACTTTGACATTTGAATCCAGATACAAAAGTGGCTTTCGAACAGGAGTTATGGGACAATTCAACATCTATTTGGCAGAGCAATTACCGCTCTCGACATAGACATCATAATTCCTATTATCCATATCTTGCTTGATTGATATGTTTCTTTACCGCATATGATATTAAATGTTAAATGTAGTTAACCATTTAACATTATCAAGGTTGAAAAGTAAACTTTCAATCCAAATCAATTAATAAAATTCATAAATTTTTATTTTAATAAAATATTATACATATCTTGAACCAGGGTATACTCAAACAAAAATGCAACATATCAATTAAGAGTTCTCTGCTCGATTAGGCTTCATGCCCTTAAATGTAATGTGATCATCAATACTAGGCTCCCCGCCTAAAAATATAATCATAACAACAAAACTCCCCCTTGTAAATAAATCATGGTACATGTTGCGACTTCGGCAAGTGCATTGGTCGTACAAGTAATATAGTGGTAAAAGTAAGGTTGTCGATCCCACGAGGATTGATTTATCAAGCAATAATTTATTTATATAATTAAAGTTGGATCGATCTTGGAAGTCCTTGAGAATGTAATTTGAATTAATAAAACATAATTTAAAAACTACTTTTGATTTTCAAGATTAAAAACCTATAACGATAAAAAAATGCATGAACGAAACAAGAACGGTTTAAACTCAATTAAAGACAAGCGTAGCTAGGGATTTGATTTCCCCAACGTTTTCCTAACAAGTCTACCCTTTCTTGCAATCAACATCCAAGATTAAGTTATTAACTACTTTTTCTAAAATCAACATCCTAGATCATACAAACTCTAGCAATTAATCAATCGGAATGAAAACACCAACATCCCTATTGTCATACAAGATTAATGTGTTTATCTATGAGTGATCAGTTCATAAACAAAGCTAGTCATGAGGGAACAGATTAATTGCATAACTCAAATCGTGAATATAAATTACAAGAAAGATTCAACAGCATTCAGGAATCCATTGGTTCCATCTCGCCCTAACTACATAAAAATCTAGCTTGACATAGCCAGGAAAACTAAAGAAAGAGATGAAAAGAGACTAAATTCATAAAAAAACATAAAACATGGTCTCCACTGTGAAGTTTTAACCGTTTCTCCGCTCCTTAGGTCCTTCTCTGCCTCCTAAGTCATCTATGGCCGCCTCCTAGCCTTTCTCTGTCACGTCCCAGCATTCATATCATATCTAATCTCGTCTTTTTAAAGAAATAAAGACTGGGCTTTTCAATCTGGATAAAGCTCGTTGAGGAGCTCGCTGAAGCAAGCTACTCAGCGAGCAAATTTCAATTTCTCGCTTAATTGTTCGCTAAAGTGAGCTTAATAGCGAGGGATAAACGAATCAAAAGAATGTCCTCACTGAGCTTGCTCGCTTCCCAATAATCTTGATTAATTCTTCTATTTTCTTGATCCTTATCTCTACCAACTACTTTTATCCATCAGAATTCGTAATTTGTTATTTTAAACCTGAAACAATATAAAAAGAGATAAGAATTATATCCAATTGTTGAAATCTTAATATCTTTTGCATTTATTAATTTGTACTATGTTTTTTAATCATATTTATCTTTATATAATATAATTTTGATCTTAAAAAATATAGTGTCTATGACACTTATCATTACACAAGTCTAGGATGGACAACTATTAGCATACAGTATTGTAATTAAGTCATACCCTAAAACCAATTTAAAAATTATAAAACAATATATATATTTCTCGGAATCAATCATAAGCTTATTACAGTTTTATAAATAAATTGATCAATGTTGGAGTGCTTCTCAAATATTCAATTGCAAAATTCATAATTTGTATTATGTTACTTAATTTCATGAAAATAAAGTCAAATGTTATAAAAGCAATAAAGTGGCAATATAAATAATTCCAAAAATTATATATTTTTCTAAATCATTGAAATAATAATATATTTCCTTTTGAATGCTCAAATATAAATATATTATGAATTCATAATTTCATTCTAAACAATTTATCAAATATCAGGAAAATAAATAAATAAGCAAAGCAAACCACATCATTACGTTTTATGCCACCTTGTCCCTTTAAAATATTTAAATATCAAGCACTCCATATTTTCATTCATAGAGCTATTGCATAATAAAACAATAAATTACATTACAAATAAAAATCATGAAATAAAATATATTTTGGACTTGTATAGACCCCACAATTTACTTGTAGACATCCAATATCGGCTAAATAAAACTCTAGATCAATTCCAATCAATTGTATTACTTGATGTCGCCGCATGACATTATCGTATCCAAAGGTTCTTTTACCCTTTGAGTTAGTTGCTAAAGTGAAAAATCAATTATTATTATTATTATTCACGCAAACTTACCGAGCTCTTTTCGTATTCGAATTGGTCGTAGTGTTGCTTACGCCCATAAGTCATGGTGTTGCGTGGAATATATTGAGCTCTGAGCAAGATTCCAAATGGGGGTTTTGAGCTCCAGATCAGTGTGACCAACAAATTTAAAACATCAAGAGCACTCTACGAAATGTGGACAAAGATTTAGAGCATCTTCAAAAGCAGTGGCGGAGATAGTACAAAAAATTAGCTAGTGCAAAAAAAAAAAAAAATTAATACATAAATTTTTGAGTAAACACCCTTTTTAGTCCCTGGCAATATCTACGAAGTCCTTTTCAGTCCCTGGCAATAAAAAAGGACCAAATTGGTCCCTGAAAGTGCAAGAAAAGGGCCACTTTACATATTTGGGAGTTGACATAAGGACTAACATGGCCTTTTTTTGTAATTTCAGGGACCAATTTGGTCCTTTTTTATTGCCAGGGACTAAAAAAGACTTCGTAGATATTGACAGGGACTAAAAATGGTGTTTACTCTAAATTTTTTTAGAGTAAATACCCTTTTTGTCCTCAGCAAATTTCACGACGCCCGTTTTAGTCCCTAGCAAATAAAAAGGCTTATCGTGGTCCCTAAGAAATTCAAAATGGACCATTTAGTTGAAATCGTGGTCCCTCACAAATTTAAAAAAGACTCATATTAGTCTCTAAAAAGACTAAAATAGGTCATTTTAAATTTCTTAGGGACCACTATGGGTCTTTTTATTTGCTAGAGACTAAAGTAGGTATCGTGAAATTTGCTGAGGATCAAAAAGGGTATTTACTCATTTTTTTAATATTCATTACCGAAACAACTTTTTCTTTCTCCAAAACTCATTCTCTATCTTTTTTTCTCACTTTATATTTCTACTTCGATTAAAAATATATGGGAACAGTCCGAACACACCAACTTGTCAGTTACACTGAGTATAACAAGGAGAAAAGAGAAAGAGGAGCGAGAACGAGAAAAGAAGTCTAAGAGAGCAGGAAAGAAAGATTAATCATTTTAAACATTGGAGGTCATCAAAGATACAATGAATCATGCTTAAGTTGTCCACTTGCTCAGCTGCTCTTTCACAATTAATGAATCAAAAATATATTTACAAAGAAAATTGAGAAAATAAAAATACTTGATGCATTACACGGACAAAACAGAGCCATTGTTAAAGACATCAAACAGAAATGACAGATGTCCACAAAAATGGACAATATAAAACACTTGACACGTTATATATGAATACTCCATGCAAAATAACAAAAGAGTAATGATAAGTGTCAAAAACCTATGTTTTTAATGTCAAATATAATTCAAATAACAATTTATATGATTAAAAATATGGTGTTAATTAATAAAATCTTAAAGAATATTAAAATGCCAACAATTAGATAAGATTCTAATCTTTTTTATTGTTTCAGGTTGTTTAATAAAGGAGAGACTACTAACCTGATAAGTGAGCTCCTCAGCGAGCTGGCCCAAAAATTGAAGGCCTAGTTTAAGCCTATAAATACAACGAGACGAAGGCTTCAGAAGTGGGTTCAGAAGACAAAAGAAAAGCGAACGCGGAGACGAAGGCCGAAGGCAGAAGCGGAGAAGAAATTCTGGAGCAGGATTCCAGAGGAGGAGAAAGAGATTGAAGATTCATCACTGATCATCAACCAAGTTTTATCATGAACCCCTTTCATCTTTTATTATTTTTTTATTCTGAATTTATGAACATGTTTGGCTAGTTTATTTATGTAGTCAGGATTATGGATCCAATGTGAATCCTAGTTATGGTTTGATTTAATTTCTTTAATAAATTATTTCAGTATTTGTGTTTTACCTTGAATGAATTTCTATATCCTTGTATGAACTGATCACTCCTATAGGGATTTGAGGGTTAGGGCTCGCAATAGACATATTGGGGTTTTAGTCCTGACAGGGGTAACATATCAATTCTTGCATGATCTAGACATAGGCTTGCTTGAGTTGTAGACTTCATAATTCATTGCGTTTAATGCTTATTCTAAGAGAGATTACTAAGACATTAGGATTCTAATTAGAGTAAAGGGTTAAAGTCACTAAGACATTAGGATTTAACCAACTATTTTTAGAAGAAGAATTGTCTGAAATTTCTGAGGTAAATTATTATTGAAATTAATTTAAATTACTCTAGGAGGATCTGAGGTGAAATAATTCCTAATTGCAGCTAGGGGTGTAAATGGGCTGGGCTGGGTCGGGCTTTGTCCTTCCTGGCCCAAGCCTACGTCAAAAAAATTCAGCCTATCTGGCCTACTGGCCAATTAAAGGCTTTATTTGTAGGCCAAGCCCGGCCCATTTTTAAAAATAAGAAATCCTGACATGGCCTACAGGCCTTGTAGGCCTCCCACTGTAGATACTAAGCAAAAATAATAATAGTATAGAGCAAAGAAAGTTTCATTCATGCATGCACTAATACTTCTCATAAGAAAAAAATGACAAACAAGAAACAGTCAACATAATACCCCAGCTCTAGAATGTATATCATAGAGGAATAGAGTCAAAGAAATGGGGAAAATAAGAAAAATACAATTACTGGATGCTGAAATAAAGTCTATAAGAGAATATTATTCATAAAAATCTTTAAACCACCATCAAGACAAGGGAAAGAAGAGTATTATTGAAAGATCTTCATTAGTAACATAATAATCCAACAAGGTACCCATTGCTCCATGGTATTAA